CTATACTTGGCTGACATTGAAGACGAATGCATATTAGGATTGGACTACTTACTACCGAGGAAGTTTGTCATTAATTTTGATAAAATGACGCTTGGGAACAGCAAAGGCCAAGTTCCGGTAACTGTTAAAAGAGAGGTTGAACTAATTAGGTGCCATCAAGCTGAAGTCAAGGCAACTGAAAAAGTTGATGACGATGAAGTGGAACCAAATATAGATATCAAAGCAGAACAGGAGAAAGATCAAGATTTGAAGCCAAGATTTTTTAAAAGCAAGTGTTTTGCGCCCTGCTTGGGAGAAGGTATCTAGTCTAAGCCCTGTGACAAAGAACAATTGGGCACAATGGGACCAGTTGAAGCTTGGAGATGGTATTCTTATCCGGAGATGGGAAACTAAAGATGAGAAATTGACGACTTGGCAAACGGTTATACCGAGAAAGTTAAGGGAAGTTGTGCTGCGTCAATCCCATGATAATTTAACAGGAGGACATCTCGGAATTAAGAAAACATTGAGTCACCTACGACAAAGATTTTATTGGATAGGTACTAGGCAAGATGTGGAAGAATGGTGCCTGACATGCAGTACATGTTGTGCTAAAAGGGGACCCAAGCATAAGGGATGCCCTCCTTATGAAAAGTTGCCTGAGAATGTGTCAGAGTTTGTGAAAGTGTTATCGGAAAGGATGGGTGATATTCAACATCAAGTGCATTCAAACTTGGAAACGTCTGCTGATTCGATGAGATTAACTTATGATAAGAGATCTACTGAAGTCAGCTTTGTACCAGGAGACAAGGTGTGGCTGTATAATCCCAGGAAGACCAAAGGGAAGTCTCCTAAGTTGTCTTCTCCATGGGAAGGCCCATATCACATAGTGGATCGTCTCTCAGACGTGACTTTCCGGATAAAGTGTGGTCGGCGAGGTAAGCCAAAAGTGGTGCATGCCAACAGGCTTTGGCGTTATCACAGTCCAGGACTTTTCAGTTGGGACGAAGTGAACAACAGAATAAATGACGCTGCTGAAGACGTGCCACCTGAAAAAGCCACTCTATTCAGTTTTGAGAAGAGAAACGGTGAAGCTCTTGATGAAGTTACTACCACTGATGTGATTGTTACCGACAATAGGACATTTCCTGATGAAGCAGATGAACCCCACGTGAAGCAGAAGCCAACGAGACGGAGACCAGTACGGAAGAAGAACTGTGGACAGTTGTGTGACGCTGAGATCATACACGCTGGAGTTTCTCGAATTATCGAGGAACCCCGCGAATGTCCGAGTGTTTGCTAGACGCCCTCTTTTTTATTATATAAACCTGGCAAAGAAAGGCAGTGTTACGACAGCGGTAGTCACGTGACTCTGGTAACATGAGTTTCTAGAAGGATTATCACTTTTCCTGGCAACTCTAGTCTTTTCCAGGCCCCCCTCTATTTTAGTATATAAGCCCGGCAAATAAAGCGGAGAGAAGAAGTGACGGCATAGATAATTGCAGACACAGAGGTATAGAGACAGATAATCGAGTCAAGTCGTAAGTAAAGTGCGTGAATCGTTGTGAATTATAGCGTGTGTGGAAGTGAAAGTGACTGTGGAAATTAAGTGTATTGCAAAGTTATATTGAGAATGAATAAACTAGTTTTATTTAAGAAAGGACTTGTATCGCTGAAGTTTCTCGGAATGAATTTCTACGGGAAATTAACAAACGAAAAGAGACGTAACACCAGCGATGTAGATAGATAATCGAGTCACGGTAAGTTGATTGTGTTTCTGTGTTTTGCAGTCGCATAGAGCGAAGTTATCAAGCTTGTGAATCGCTGTGATTATAGCGTGTATTTATAAAAGTCGTTATGTTTAAAGCGACGAGAAACATATTGACAGAGGAAATTCTGTGTATTACAAAGTTTGTATCGAGAAAGAATAAACTAGTTTTAATCAAGAAAATACTTGTATCGCTGAAGTTTCTCGGAAAGAATTTCTACGAGAAATTAAGAAACAAGCAGATACGTAACATTATAAATGAGTTCAGAATATCGTAAAGACAACAAAAGTGCATTATATACACACACATCTACAATATTACAAAGGTTTAGCTTCCTGAGAGCAGTCATTTAAGTACCGTATTTTTCGGTGTACAAGACGCACTTTTTACCCCAAAATTTGATGTCAAATCTGCTTGCGTCCTATACACCGAAGGTATTGTTACGACAGCGGAAGTCACGTGATTCTGGTAACACGTGATGAGTTTCTAGAAGGATCATGAAGGCCCGAGTGTTTGCCCGACGCCCTCTATTTTTGTATATATAAGCCGGCAAATAAAGCGGAGAGAAGAAGTGACGGCATAGATAGTTGCAGACAGAGAGATATAGAGACAGATAATCGAGTCAAGTCGTACGTAAAGTGCGTGAATCGTTGTGAATTATAGCACGTGTTTAAGTTAAAGTGACTGTGGAAATTAAGTGTATTGCAAAGTTAAATTGCGGAAAGAATAAAGTAGTTTTATTTAAGAAAGGACTTGTATCGCTGAAGTTCTTCGGAAAGAATTTTTACGGGTAATTAACAAACGACCAGAGACGTAACAGTATGAATAATATATATGTATATACGGTGTACACAAGCCACGTGTAAATATATTTAAATAGGCATGCATAGTTTAGTTCAATTGAATGTGTTATTTATAACAATAGTAGTTTTTTTTTCTTTGAAAAACTACTACTTATAATGG